CGAATCTATTCAAACATGAACAATGACATTCAAGTTTACAAATTAAACCATTTGTTGCAAAAAAAAAAAAAAAAAAAAAAAAAAACACTTCCAAAATTTACAAGTTTGATTTTTGAAAAACCTTACTATGACTCCTCACTTACTTATGCTTATGCATTATGATTTATGGATCGATTAAAAATAAAAACATAAATAATACTATACATCGGATACCCATCGGGGTCGGTTTTGGGTACAGGTATGTCGCATATGTAGAACTAGGGATGAAAGTGGATCCGAACCCGTACCGAATGGACCCAGACCTGGAAAACCCGGAACCGATTAACGGAATTTTATAGAACCAGAAACCGGACATGTATAGAGGAACCGGTTTCGGTTTGGTTCCGGGTACGGTATCGGGTAAAGTAGGATTAGAACTGAAAAACCCGGAAACATTAAAGTGGATAGGTTGGAACCGGATAAAGTGGGTTTAGAACCGGAATTTTTTGGCAATTACTTACTACTTAGTGAGTTAAACTTTGAAAATTTTCATATTAATATCCCGAATTCAAGGGATTGTAAGTTATTGAATATGAAACCAAAATTGACAAAATTATAGTCAAAACTCATGTACAAACTCTAAAATACACTCCGGAGAAAACCGTATGTCAATCCGACTTTAAACGAATGATATATGCATGTGTTAATGTTTTCACATAATACAAAGTACAAAAACAAATAGCTAAAAAGTTGAAAATTTTCAACTTTGATATCTCAACTTCGGGGGACTATAAGTTATTGAATATTAAACCAAAATCATGTACAAACTATAAGCTACAAGTTGAAAAAAAAAATTGCATATCAATTTGACTTCAAGCGAATAAGATATGCACGTTTTAAAACTTTCACATAATACAAAAAATCTGAAAAAAATAAAAACTTCCAGCTTTGATATCTCGACTTTGGGGGCTGTAAATCCATTAATATAAAACTAAAAATAATAAATTTATAGTCTAAAATCATGTATAAACTCTAAACTACACATTGAAAAAAACCGTGTGTCAATCGGACTTAAAACAAATAAGATATGCATGTTTTAAACATTTCACAGAAACCGGTTCCGGCTCCTAAAAGTGGTTCTGATTCCTAACATCGGTTCCGGTTCTTAGACCCGGTTTACCAGGACCCGATGGACCCAAACCCAGATTACCCGAAACCCGGATAAAGCCAATTTTTAAACCAGAAACTGAAACCGGTTCTATATATTTTGGTTCGATTTTCCGATTTTAAAGCTCATCCCGATGTAGAACCATCCCCATCCACATCCTCGATTTTTGCATTCGGGTAATACCCATTCCGGTCCCCATCAGGGATTTACCCGGTCAAATCGGGTTAGGGTTTCGGTTATCCATCGGGTACGAGTGTTTTTGTCATCTCTACATCCAACTAAGTGATGAATCAATCAAAAACCTAAGATTACCTAGACAATGTGAATAGTGGTGACTTTGACCACCACGTTAGATGTGAAACGATGGTTTTAAAATAATTAAACTATTATTTATGACTTTATGTTACAAAAACATAAATACAAAGTAAAAAACGGAACTATTATTTATCAGTCTTTATGAAATTAAATTAGAAAACACAAAATTTGGTATGAACACAACTTGAGGGTCATATATGTAATAAATGCAAAGATAAAAATCTGAAAAAGAGCAAACCAAAAACCTTGTCGACGAGGGACAAAATTTGACGCTATTGCTTTCGGTGCACAGTTCTCTCCTCTCCCTTTGCTTTCACCATTCGCGTAGGCAACTCGATAAAGAGCGACTTCTCATAGTTAATTTCAACTTCCTCCTGTTTAACGTAAGTTTGTTTTCCACACTTTGAAGCAATTTCCACAGATTCACACAAATGCCTAATTTCCAATCGTCGTTTTACAAAATTACAAGATCTTTATAGTTCTTTGCAATATCTGCTGTTTATCAATCTATCTTGATAGAATTGTCGATGACAATTCATTATTTGTAGCCATCGATCGTACATTCAGATGTAATCTGGTTAGTATCATCTTATTGTCCTGGAAGATAGCTGCAAATTACGATCTCCAGACATTGAATTGTGAGCCCTAGGTGTTAATTTTCAGATGAGATCCAATTTGCATTGACTGTTGACTCCAATTGGTTACGTTTTAGTAGAAAACTTGAATCTTTTTGGCCTAATTCGTGCGTTACGTATTCAGAAAGTAGTACCCCACTACCCCGTGATTGATCATGTGATCACTTTTTTTCCTTTCACAAATCTGATAAACCCTACATATTTCGATACTTTTATTGTTACTTGCTATTAGTTACGACTTACGAATGATGTCAAGTCTGATAAACCCTACATATATCCATAATTTTGTTGTGAATACTTGGATGAAATGTGTTTGGATGTGTTCTTGCTAATAAATGCCATTGCTTTCCTCTTAATTTCAGGGACATATCAGTTAGGTCAATTACTCATACCTTTGGTTTATGGACTTCTGAATCTTTGTAAGCAACCAAGTTGAGTTCCAGCTTCTAATTCTGATAAACATGGAGCCTTTATGGAAGCTTATCTTTCTCATGGAACCAGCTCCAGTGACCTTAATCTTAACAGCCATTGCTGTCACTTTCGGTTCTGCTCTCCGAGCTTTAAACTATGGTAAAGAAATGGAAAAAAACCGTGATCTCTCTGAAGCATCAATCACATTAGACAGATCTCAAGCACTAATGATTCCAGTCATGAGCTCCTGCAGTCTCCTCATGATGTTCTACTTATTCTCTTCAGTCTCACAACTCCTCACTGCTTTCACAGCAATCGCCTCTATTTCATCTCTATACTTCTGCTTCTCTCCCTACATCTCCCATGTCAAATCCCAATTCAATCTTTCAGACCCTTTCATCTCCCGATGTTGCTCCAAACCCTTGACAAGAATCCAATCCCTTCTATTGTTCTTATGCATCACTACAGTTGCAGCATGGCTTGTTTCTGGACACTGGGTGTTGAACAACATGTTGGGGATTTCACTTTGTGTTGCTTTTGTGAGCCATGTTCGTTTACCCAACATTAAAGTTTGTGCAATGCTGCTTATATGCTTGTTTGTGTATGATATATTTTGGGTGTTTTATTCAGAATGGTTTTTTGGTGCAAATGTTATGGTAGCAGTTGCAACACAACAAGCTTCTAACCCTGTTCATACTGTTGCTAATTCTTTGAGTCTTCCTGGATTGCAATTAATTACTAAAAAACTCGAGTTGCCTGTGAAGATTGTGTTTCCAAGAAACTTATTGGGAGGTGTTGTTCCTGGAAATACTGCTACTGATTTCATGATGCTTGGTCTTGGTGATATGGTAAAAAAATAAAAATAAAATTATGGTTTATAATTTTATAGTTTTATACTAAGTTTATGTTTTAGGATGATCTATATATTTTGTTTTTGTTATTTTGTAGGCTATTCCTTCTATGCTTTTGGCATTAGTTTTATGTTTTGATCATAGAAAGGAGAATATATCTTTATCTCCTCATAAAGGGTATAAATATATATGGTATGCTACTATTGGATATGCAGTTGGATTAGTAACTGCTTTAGCAGCTGGAATTCTTACCCATTCTCCACAACCAGCACTTCTATATTTAGTAAGTTTCTATCTGACACTGTCTGTCTGAGTAAAGTGTTGTCTGGATAAATAAAAAGTATTTGTGAAAATGATGAATATTTTGGGATATGGAAGGATAAAAATAAATAACATGTTTTCGTGAGTTTCTGTGTTAAGTTGTTCTTTCTATATTAAGTCAAAAAGTGAACACTGTAGGTCCCATCAACGCTTGGACCGGTGGTTGTGATCTCTTGGACAAGAAAGGAGTTGAAGGAGTTGTGGGAAGGAAGCTCGCCGAATTTGACTGAAAAAACACATTCAACAGAAGTATGAACAAATCAAAACATGTAAATGGAGTTGGGATATAAGTTAAGGATATGATATTGCTTTGCTACTAGGAAATGGCATCTTGTTTTTTTTTTTTTTAAATATTTTTACATTTGAATCATTTTTCGGGTTAAAAAGGAGCTTCGAAAAGTTTAAAGTTGGTTGTTTTTGGTTAGTTTTACGTTGATGATGGTGATACGGTTCGAATTATTAACAAGTGCTTTAATAGTTTGATAAAGTGTAACCTCAAGTATATGAAAAATATTACGCTATATAAGATCGCTCAAAAGACATTTGGCAACTTAGATGAAGTTTTATTTACTGAATTTGCTTCTTGTCATTTTTCTCCAAAAATGGTTATTCTTCCAACGACCTAAAATTAGATGTTTAGCATGATAGTACAATGCTCAAAGTGAGCATTGGAATAAAATCGCCAAGTTGTGGCTCAAAAGTTGAAATCAAGGCAACTTAAGAGATTGCCCTAGGCCCACATGATGGTGTGGCCCTAATTGGGATTTATATTTATTGATAAATACAAAATTGTCTGTATAATGGTGTGGGCCATAAATGGGATTTATATTTATCGATATATACAAAACAATTTGTTTTTAGGTAGATGAATGAGTTTGAGTTGTCGAGTGTGATAGTTGGAGCAATCAAACAAGAAGAACATCTCAATAGTTCGTTTTTCCAATACAGTGTGGTATGATACAAGTCATTTACCTGAGAGGAACGTGAATTTGCTTTGATTGTAGAAGTCGAAATAAGGAATAGATATAACCTTTAGTAATATAGGCAATGTACCCTTTTCCCATAATGACAACGCAATTTCAAGTAGATTGTATGTGTAAACTTCAAAGTACTTTACTATTGTAAATTAAGAAATGTAAGTTTGAAATTCAGTGTCAATTTTGCATCCATAGTTTAAATAATCTTATTCAACGCAAACATACAAGACAATATAAATTGACATTCATTTGATTCGAGAGCAAGTGGCCAAAGAGCATGTATGGGTCATGCACGTTCCTTCATGATATCGAATTGTCGACGGACTTTTCAAAATTTTATTGGAAAATTTACAGAAAAGTCTCAAACTTTTGGGAAAAAGTTTCAATAAAGTCATAAAAGTTTTTTTTATAAGAAAAGTCCCGATTATTTAACATGTTGCCCAAATCAACGAAAATTTTTGTTTTTGTATTTGAACACCAAATGACATATTATATGATTTCCTCAAAACAATGAGATTTTTTTGTTAAAAAAATAAAACTTTTTTGAAACTTTTTCCAAAAGTTTTGAACTTTTCTGTAGATTTTTCAATTTTATTTTAAGATTTTCACAATAGTGTTTATCTTCCTCTCGTTCAAACTAAAGGGTTGTATTAGACATTAGATTATATTATTATATATATTTGGAAATATCACCAGTATTATGTTTTAGTAATAGAGTATGAGTTTTGTGTATATAATTTCATGCTTATTGAGTGGAACTGTGGAAGATGGATAATTCTTTGGCAATAACATTTACGTATGTATTGGCTCCATTTGTCGACAACGGTTTTGTAATGACCATAGTTTGACATGCAATAAATAATACAAATACATCAAGTTTTTAGCAAAAATCTTTCGAAGTCCTAGTTGATTTCACAAATTAAATTTCAAGTCTTGTTGCTAATACAATTTTTGATTATTTGCTCAATAAGTTATCCATCTGGTGAGACGTGAGGTCTATATTTCTGTAAAATCATTCACGAAACAATGTATATAAAAAAAATACTAAGATAATCCTATTTTATCATTTATGTCGTATATCCATTAAAAGGCACTGAGACACAAGATAATAAAATAAATACAAATACTATAATAATCTCATTTAAACATTTATGTGATACAATCCATCACAAAGGACACTTTTCAATGTCGACTATCTATCAGTGCCATATTTTTGCACACGAAATAACTAAATAAATTATAAATACGTAAAATATCAAAACAATGTACACCAAGAATTTTTCTTCTTGAATTAACATATGACATAAACGGCCCTCAAAGTTTGATTTTAATTACATAAATCGCCCTAAGTCTTAAAATATTTCTGAATTGCTAATGTCGAATCGTGTTGCATCCGAAATCTTTTCCTTAAGCTCTCTATTCCCTTCACTAAAGCTACACTTGCGTATCGTGACAATGTTAGTATTGTCCATCTCTCAAATGATTTTGCCCTATCACAACATACAAAGCACAAGGAAATTCAAATCATTTTGATCAAGAGCAATTGGCCAAAAAACGGGTTGGGGTCATGTACATTCCTTCATGAAATCAAGTTATTGACATCTTCACCAAATGTCTTTCTAAATTTTTAGTTGAAGATTTTCGCAACAATCTGAGCATTAATTTGTCTTCATCCCATTCAGATTGAGGGGTTGTATTATATATTAGATTATATTATTAGATATATTTGGAATTATCGTCATCATTATATTTTAGTAATAGAGTAGATTTTTGTGGTGTATATTCTCATGTTGGTTAATGAGATGGACAATTCAGTGATAATAGCATTTACTTTTATTCTACTATAGCGGTATAGCCCACTAATCCAGATTCAAATATCCAACTCTTTAATTGGTGGTCAATATGAAGCCCACACCCTCAAGGCCCAAGGCCCATTTATTAATTGGTGTTTCTTTTAATTTTAATCGTAAAGGATAATTGCACAACATTACACGCTAATTAATTTCGATTGGCGCCTCAAACTAATTTAGAAAGCTAGATTCAACTCGATTTTTTTTTTTTTAACTTTTGATTAGTTATTACATATGTAACTTTTCTGTAATTTATAACTGATTTTTTTAACGGCACAACTAATATTATGATTAGTCTATCATAATTATATGGTAAATCACGTGCAATATACAATCTCAGCCTTATTTTTGATGATTTTTTCAATAAATTATCCATTGGTAACACTAAAATAATCCATTATATACACAAGACAATAAAACAAATATAAATACTATAATAATCTCATTTAATCATTTATGAGATACAATCCAATAATCCATCAGAAAATACACTTTTCAATGTCGACTATCTATCCTGTGCCATATTTTTGCACTCGAAAAATACGTACAATATCAAAATTCAAAACAATATACACCAAGACTTTTTCTTCTTGAATGAACATATGACATAAACGGCCCTCGAAGTTTATTTTTAAATACATAAATCATCCTAAGTCTCAGATAATTGCAGTAAGACCCCGATACTGGGATATCCGCTCCCCTTCGCGATAAGGTAATTTAGATTTTAGATTAGAGAGCGAGGAAGTGTGGGTCTATCGTCTTTCTCCCCTCATCAGTCATCACTGTAAAAACAAGAAACCCTAGATACTCACAAAACCCTACAATCGGACTTGTGGAACTAAACATCTCCAATTCTTTTGTGTTTTGGCAAATTAACACCATGAGTACGTTGATCACAACAAGGTCTCCGAGCTCTTACCAACTCCGACTAGCCACTTTCAGTTGCAGGAAGTATCCTTCATCTTCTATCTTTTTACGGATGCGTGTTCACAAGCTAGCCCATCCAATTCATTGTTCTTCGAATTCTAGAGATAATGTGTCTAAACGACGGACGGGTTCGAAATTTTCTGTTAATGCTTTTTCTGGATGGTCTGGTGATGATAATGGCACCGAAGTGTTGAATGAATCGCCACCGAAAAAAGGCTCGTATGGAGGTAGGAAGTGACTTTATTCTTATTTGATTGATGATTCCTGAGAATTTGATCCTTCCATAGATGTAATCCCTTCTCAATTCACATAGGTAGAATCCGGTCTCATTTCGAAAACCTAGACCTCTATATTCTTCAAAGTAGTGAAATTGACATCGATGTATTTAGTTCTGTAGATCCTATATCTGTTATATGAAAGAATTTAGTTTCAAGACATCGTATTGTTAGATTGTTTCAAACAAAAAACTTTGGAAACTGTCTAAAATCCCTAGCTTAATGCTATACATGGTTAGGATGCAATGAAACTACCATTTCAAAGGAAATAGAACATATGATTTAGTGCTGTTATATGATGAGTAGGTGATGCTTCAAACTCAAAATTCGACTCATTTCATGAAGGATGTTTTATATCACCTCACACATTGGTTAAGTTTCAACTTCAAAGTTCAAAACACCTAGGAGAAAAGGGAATATATGACCTTTGATTTATGATCTTTTGCTTCTGCAGATGGTATTCTTGTCTACTTAATAACACTTAAGTAGCTTACTTTCAGGGATAGTGGGAGCTGCAGTAGCAGGTGTTGTTCTTGTTGCTGGACTTTCCTTTGCAACGTTTTCTATAAGCAAACGAGTATCTGGTATGTATGCTTTCTTTTCCAATGTTCTCCTTGATTCTTCCATTTTTATAAATTTCCAAGCTTTCTCATGTTTGTAGTTCATAACCATGCCTAATTCTTTTATTTGTCCTTTAGGGACAAAAAAGAACATGGAAACATTGACAACACACCAAGAAGAGTCATTGATCTCTGATGACCCGAATGATAATCTCGAAGCTAAGGGAACTGAAAAAGAGAATGCTGTGCTAGATGATGATTCTTATCCACATGAAAAAGAAAATGAAACTACAACTGAAGATAAACTTATTCAACAAGATTCCCAAGAGGAATTACCTACAGCTGAAGTTCAAGATGACACTACGGAAACACCTGGAATAGCCAATTCCGATGTTCAAGATGATTCGGTTGATGCATCAATCATTCAAAGCTTAGATGACACAGAGAAGCTCGAATCAGATGATAACTTGAAAGAAGCCCCCACTGATGATATAAACTCGGTAATTCCTGATTCCGATTTCCAGGAGGCAACAATAAATGAATCAGATATCAATGATAAAGAAACTCAAGAGTTCCTGGAGTCATTCACAGAAAAGGAAGTTTTAGATGGTGGATTGGTAATTCCGATTCCAATTCCGATTCCGATTCCAGAACCAGAATTGTCTAACATTGAGAAAACATTTGATTCAATGGATCTTGAAAATCTCCCATCTTCTGCAAGCATACCTGCTCCATCTGTACTTTCACCATCACTACAAACTCTCCCTGGAAAAGTCTTAGTCCCTGCAGTTGTTGATCAAGTACAAGGGCAGGCATTAGCAGCATTGCAAGT